ATGCTGTGTGCACAGTTAGAGAAGGCTAAAAATATTGTTTCACATCAGAAAGGTCCGAGTTGAGGTTAACAGGATACATTTTGGTCAGGAACAGCCAGCCCAAATGAGCAACTTTCTCATAACAGCCAAGAATAGAGAAAGCTATGACCACGTGAGATAAGGAACCAGCATACAGTTTCCGCAAAATTCCCTCTTTTAACGTGAACCTGGATAAATGCATTTTCTCCTTGTTCAAATATTCTTTCAGATTCATTGTTCTATGAAGCCTTCTCTCCAGCCATCCCCTCTCTCTTGTTTCCTACATCCTGCAATCTTCACACGGAACAAGGTGAATAATGATAGTGAAAACAATTCTCATGATGGCTTAGAGAAAATCCTTTAAATTAAAGGGTTGGAGAAGCAAGATACAGAATGAGTCAAAGACATCCAAAGGGGCTAGATCATTTCAATATATCTTGCCAAGTAAGAATAATGTTTCTTTATTTTTCAAAAATGAAAAAGTTTAAAAAAAAAAAAGTCCCAGTTTCTAAAAGAACTCTGAGGGTCAGAGAAATAGAGCCTCATGCTTCAGCTGCCTCTCTGGTCACCACAGCAAAACAGCTGAGAACACTTAAAAATGAAAATGTACTACAAAGAATGACACCAGCCAAACTAGAAAAATAGAAAATGACCTTAATAATACATACCTTATCTTTCTGTAACACTTTTTTAATTTATAAAGCATTTGGACCTATATTATCTCATGTGATTCTAACAAAAATCTTATGAGGTTGGCATAACAATGATTAATAACCTCATTTTACATATAAGAGAGTTGATATTTAGAGACCTTAAGTGGCCTGCGTGAATCCCCCAGCTCTGCACTGTTGGAGCTGGGACCAGAACCTACATAGCAGGCTCTCGGGCTGTGCTGGTTTTCATTCTGCACCTGGGTGTACAGAACAAGCAGACATAGATGAAGAAGGCTTAGCACTGATAATTAAATGCCAATGTGTATCTTTACCCCAAAAGACACATATATGAAAATGTAAATATTTAGTTTTCTGCTATCATTAGTGTTACACAGCGAGGACAGGTAGTATATAATAATATTAAAGAGCTGATGAGAGTAAGAGATAGAAAGAAACTTAAAAGCCCAGAAGCTTTTTAGGTTGACCTTAAGTTAGTTATTCTTAGATTAGAAATGAGGGAAATTAAGCAGGTAATATATAGATCTTTAAAAAATACCTTACAAAACATCTGGTTCATTATGTGCTTACTATTCAGAAACAACTGAATAGGAAAGGAAGGACAAAGCAATGTTACAGAAATCAGTAGCTAACACTGGTGAGAAAGTAGCCTAAATTTATATAGTCGAAAAACATGACTCAAAGAGGCATCATCACAGCCTATAAATACCCTCCAGGCAACAATTACACGCGGTAAATAAGGTAAGTGATTTATGCATCACCTTAAGCTCAGGTCATTTCTCTTTGTCCAGTTGTCTATGGAAGACAATGCTTTACACCTGAGCTGGTGTCATCTTCAGCAATGAAAACAGCTGAGGAGACCTGAAGGCTGGGTGCTGCTGGAGACACCCAGGTGTAGGGTTAAAACGAGGAACCACAGGGAATGGCCTCCTATGGCTGACCACATTAAGAATTAGACTGGATAGGGGTGACCGGTTAGCACAATTGGTTAGAGCGTGGTGCTGATAACACCAAGGTTGCTGGTTCGATCCCCACATAGGTCACTGTGAGCTGTGCCCTCCGTAAAAGAGTCAGCTATGCCATTGTAGCATGAAAGCAATGTGTAAATAATGACCATGGCTGTTCCTCCCGACCCCACCCCCCCAAAAAAAAATTAGACTGCACAGTCACATTACTCAATTGGGTATTTTCATTTCTGCCTTATCTTTGAAAAGGGATGATAAAGAAGAGAATCAAATCCAAAAAAACCTTTTGGAGTGCAGCATTAGTGGTGTAGTGGTGAGCGTAGCTGCCTTCCAAACAAAGCTTTTGATTTCTGGCCCACTTAATTGAAAGAAAAACAGGGACCACGAACACTCAAGTATAATATAAAGTAATCTGCTTTGATATCAGAAGATAGCATGGCACTGACTCTCATGGAGAGTACAACTTTGCAAAATTACAGACACTGGCTCAGGGTCGTCATATCAGGCCTGCCTCAGATGCTGCTGTGCTATAGTTTTCACATAGCCATAAGGTGATCACATGTGTCTTACCTTGTAAATCACATTCTGGATACCAAAGCATTTTTAAAACCACTGAGAGCTGCACACAAGCAAATTATTACTAATTATTATCACTGTGATGACTCTCCCAGATGCTAGGCTTCAAACACGTCATTTTCCACAAACCTTTCCTCCACATGACAGTTTTCTCCCTATTGAAATTTACTAGGTTATCTGAGGAAGTCTCATGACTTCCTTAAACCACAAGTTATTTTAAAAGACCAATCTGGTCTCAGTACTTGGGAAGCCTAGATTGTTTGAATCGCAGCAGATATGAGCTTGGGCAGGGCCCTGCAGTGTACAAGAGTCGTGGTAGAGTGATATTTAAAATATCAAGAGCTCTCTAAACACAGCATGCTCAGTTCAGCCACAGCCCAATCCAAATCGAAGCAATTTTTCCCATTGCCTTCCCAGGGACAATTTTTTTTTTTTCAGCTGAGCCCTCCTGCCACCTGTTGGCAGCTCAGCAGCTGCTCAGCTCGGGCCAGGAATTGAACCGCTGTTGCTCAGAGTTCAAACTCTTGAGTGAGCTCTTAACCAATTGAGCCACTCGGCCGACCCCAGGGACAATTTTTCTAGCCTCGTAGAGAAGCTAACTGCATTTGGTTGAACTTGTCTTCATTTCTTTTTTTGTTTCAAGATTTTTTTATTGGGCAATTGGGGGAGGGGGACAGCGTTGGGGAATCAGGGAACGGGAACAGACAAGTTGCTGTCCTTTTGTTCTTCAGTCTAGTTGTGGAGGACGTTGCTTTACTGGCCCATGTTGGTATTATCATTGCGCTCTTCCCGGGTGAGGCAGATCGGTCACCGGCCTCCAGACGGCCACTCACGGCGGCTCTTGGCAGCTCACGCTGGCTGCCGGCCACTCACAGTAGCTTATGGCAGCCCACTGCAGCAGGGGCTGTAGCCTATGCCCTTGCCGGTGACTCACGGCTGCCCATCTCCAGGTTGAGCTGTTGTTTACCATCTTAGCTGTAGAGGGCAGTGTCACTGGCCCTCATGTGGGATCTGAACCGAGGCCCTGCTGCTCAAAGCTGGCGTCCCAAACCAGCTCTTAACCAACGTGCCACTCGGCTGGCCCTGTCTTCATTACTTATGTAGGAAGAGGGGACTACAAAATTTGACAACCAGATAGTTAGTTCCTAAGTGAGCAATGGTTCCTTATTCATATAATAACAAAGTCCCCGAGTTGTACCTTGTTGGTACCTTCATACGCTTACGTAAATAAGATGTTCAGACCACCATGTACTGCGCTGCATGGATCCTAACCCAGGAGCGAGGTGATACCTGTTCACTCAGGGCTACTTGCAATGACCAAGGACTGCCAGCTATGTGACCTGGTCTCTGAGTTAGGACGAGTGCCCAGAGGTGAATGGAGAGGGTCAAGCTCAAAAAGTGAAGTATTTTCTAAGGGACTATTTAGAGTTGGTTTTTCAGCTCATAGCAATGGTAGCCAAGTGCTTCCTGAGTGGTCTTTTATCCCCAGGGGGTAGTCCAGGAGCACTCTCGTAAATGGAAACTGGGTATTTGTGACAATATCACCCCCAAGAGACTATAGACTTCTGCTATAATGAAAAACCTAATAGGGCCGGCCGGGTGGCTCAGTTGGTTAGAGCGCGAGCTCTGAGCAACAGGGTCACTAGTTTGATTCCCACATGGGTCAGTGAGCTGTGCCTGAGCTGAGCTGCCACTGAGCCTCCAATGGGCAGCCGGATGGCTCAGCTGGTTAGAGCGTGTGCTTTTAACAACAGGGTTGCTGGTTCGACTCCTGCATGGGATGGTGGGCTGCGCACCCCCACAACTAGATTGAAAAGCAGTAACTGGATTTGGAGCTGAGCTTGCACCTTCCACAACTAAGATTGAAGGACAATAACTTGACTTGGAGCTGAGGGGTCCTGGAAAAACACAGTGTTCCCCTTCCCCAATTCCCCAGCACTGTTCCCTTCCTCAATTCCCAATAAAATCTTTAAAAAAAAATCACTTAAAAAAAAAACCTAATAGACTTTGGAAAAGTACCTATACAATGAAGGTAGAAGGTCTTATCATATCTCTGTTTACATATGCATGCATGCACACACACACACAGTTGGTTAAAACATTTGGAGTTCACTCCATTACAACTGCAAAGTTTGTGAGAAACACAAATCAGGATATAGGTGTTGTCTGTGCTAACATCCTATAAGGAGACATTAACAGAACTTCAACTTCTATTGAATGCTTTCCTGAGTTGGAATTTGCCAGGCTTGCAATATTAACATAGAATTATGGAAATTGGAAACAAAAAGCTGGCGTCTACTGGGAATGATAGGCTCAAGATGAACTCAACTGGAAAATTTGACTAACTAAAAGTGACATCCTTTGTGCTGAAATTTTCTATCTGAAAGCTTTAAAAAGGCTGTAATTATTTCGAGTTTTCAATTCAGTCTTTTTCCAACTAAGCCTTTGATTTTCTTCATTGTTCTGTACCTTTCCTTCCTGTGAATTGAGGCATTTAAAAAGCACTGAAGTGGTAAATTCATATTGGTTTTATACACCTATCCATTCCAGGGAATGGTAAGCAACACAATTTTTGCATCCTCTATGCCAAGAAAAACAAAAGAATATTTGTACATCAAAACCTTTATCTGTGCACAAGCTCAAAATACCTGAGCATGGCTAAATAAATCACCTAATAAGAAATGGCTAATTAAGACCAATGAATAATTTCTTTGCAAGTTAGTGCTTTTTCTCCATTGTGAAACCAAGGAATGCAAGAACTTAGACTTACCTCGTGGATGTTGGGTCCCAAATCACAATGTCAGCATCTGATCCTACAGCTATTCTTCCTTTTCTTGGATAGAGATTAAAGATTTTAGCTGCATTTGTGCTGGTAACTGCCACAAATCGGTTTTCGTCCATTTTACCACAATGCTGTAAAACATTTCAAGGAAAAAAAGCATCTGTTTTAATGATCAAACATTTTAAAAATTCCATATCAATAAAAAGTACAAAATTTGAATCTCTTAGAACCAAACAGAATTGTATCTAATTTCTTATATTATGGAGCTGAACGTATCTGTGGATGCTAGTAAGTCTCAAACAATCATAATGATAATGATGGGGACGGTGGAGTAACATATGGAAGCCTGAAGGTAGCTTTTCAAAAATACATCAGCTTAAAAAAAAATACCACCATTAATCCTGTCCAGAATCACACAGATAACAGCTAAATATTAGCAATGGTATTTCCATTTCTTGTTTCAAGTTCACTACCACCACCTACTACATTTATGATCTGGTTTATTTGTTGCAGACCCAAGGTGTATGAGTGGTCATGTAGACATTAGATGGCATATTATAGAGTTAAGGCAAGATAGACCTTTGAATCAGATGGCAACAGTTTTAGAAAGAGAAAGAATTAGCTTAAGAGGTTTGATATTGTACAATTAAACTTTACATGAACCAACGATCATGGACAGTCTATTGCAAGAGATTTTTAAATGGACGGACACTGGAAGGATGTGATCCCACTAAAGTTATTTTTTTAATGTCGACAGCTTATCTCTACATATATTTATATGATAAAAACATCCTTAAGGTTTATTTAATTATCAAACGCCCTGTCTCAAAAAAAAAATAAAAAAAGAACTATGTCCTGAAAGCAATAGTCCCATAAGTAAACCATCTTAATGTTTCAGAAAGTAAAATCATTTCTTCTGTGTTACTAAGAAATAGTCAATCACTTTAAAGCCATTTATATGCTTGGGAACTGTAAATGATTATGAAAATGTGCTGTAATGAAGATATGCACTGTAATAACACAAATTCAAAGAGAAAGGTTGGACTGTTATCATAAAATCTAAGAAAAGAGGAAGAAAGGAGAAGTCATCGGGGATGGTTAGGGTTAGGGTAGAGGAAACGAGGTTGAACAGGATGATTAGTAGAAGACAGGGCAATAGAGATATTTTGAAGATCCTTATATGTAAATTAATTGCTCAAATATCATCTCATAAGTCATGGAGAAAATTAAAGAGTTTTAGAGGAGAAAGTAGCATGAACAGACCTTCATTTTTGAAAGGTGACTCTGGTCGTGGAGTATAGAATAGATGGTAGCAATTAAGATCAGAGGCAGGGACACCAGTTGTGGAGATGACGTCAATGGTTCAAAAAACAGACTGGCCTCAAAGTAGAGTGATAGACATGAAGGTGGAAATAAGAAGGCATTTGGGAAATAAAATTAACAAGATGTAGTAAATAATTAGAGTTAGAAGTGAGAGGGACATGTAGGGGATTCTGAGAAATGAGACATGATTAATGTGTCATCTAAGGGAAGGTGTCTAGGAGAGGGTGAGAATGGCATGATAATGGGGACCTCAGGTCTAACCAGGCAGGTGTCTCCTACTCATCTTTACAACTATGCATGTCAACTGGCTAGACAGGTTAATGTGAACATTTAGCGATTTGTTTTTTGTTTTGTTTTGTTTTTAAGGGGAACGGCCAAGTTGTTGTCCTTCAGTCTTAGTTGTGGAGGGTGCAGCTAGCTTAGCTCCCATTCCTGTCGCCATCTGGCCGCCTGTCGGCAGCTGGCAGCCACTCAGCTCAAGGTGCCATGTTCAATCTTCGTTGCAGGTTGGGTAGCCCACCATCCCATGTGGGAGTCGAATTGGCAACCTTGTTGTTAGGAGCACGTGCTCTCACCAGCTGAGCCATCCTGCCACCTGTTGGCAGCTCAGCTGCACCTCAGCTTGAGAGTAGCTCACTGGCCCATGTGGGAATCCAACTGGCGACCGTTGCTTAGAGCGCACACTCTTAACCAGCTGAGCCACTCAGCCAGCCCCACATTTAGTTATTTGATTCTTTTCCATCCTAAGAGAGAAATTTTTAAATCATGGGAATTTATAAAACCTTTTTTCTAGACTTTGAATTATTATTTATGTGATCTCATGCAGCTGTTTTTAAAATATGACATCCAAGTTTCTGAAAAGGGGACATCTACAAAGACTTTATGAAAAGGATGTAAGAACATAGTAAAAATCCTTCATGTACATTCAATAATTCAAGAATCTATACCAGTGACACACAAGAAACTGGGATTCAAGAACCTGAGAAATCAGGTAGAAGGGCTATCACATTTCAAAGACATCAAGAATCTACATTGGCACTCAATCTAAATTCATCCCCTCATGTCAGCAAAATGGTATAACATATCCTCTAAACTAAACCATGCAGAGAAGGAAACTATAAATTATTATCCTGAGGGATGGGGTGGTGGTGATGGTGTTGCATTTCCAGTTTCCACTCCAGTAAAAAAAGTAAAAAAACTTCTCTATGAAGGTTTATGGCACACTGCTTCTAAAATGGGCCAGATCCTGGCCCAAAAAGCAACACAGGCTGGATCATGTGAAACTCACCACGCCTTTTTCCCATATTACTGACATCCGGTCCTCAACACCATTCACCCCATTGGGAATCTTAGTAAAATCATCCTTCCCCAGGGCTTTCTGGCAGGTGTTGAAAGTGCAGTTGTCAGTCCCTGTTGTGGTTAGATCATCACTGTAAAAGAAAAACACACCAGTGTGATGAAGGTGAGTAGATAGAATAGGTCAGGAGGAAACTACCTTAACCTTTCCTAATCTGGTGACACCCTTCTCAACTGAAAGTTAGAAAACTATGATGGAAAATGAGTAGCTTTTTCTAGTACATCTTTCACCCACTCCCATCCCTATTCTAGAAAGCACCTTTGGAGAATACGCTTATAAGCTTGATGATCGGTTCCAGGCTCAGTTCCATTGTGATTATGAGCTCACCTGATGCTCAATTTCTCATCTAGAAATTGATAATGATATGTGCTTGGAGACAATTATTTCAGGATCACTGGCAATACTGTAAGTGAAAATTCCTTGTGAGTAGAGTACTACACAAAGATGAACCACGTGATCCACGTGAACAGAGGGAGGCCCTCCAGGGCAGCCCCGGACAAATGGCAACATTGTGATGAGCAGAGATGTGACACTGGCTGAGTATGATGATGTCACCAGCGACGGGAACCCTGCTTTGATTTGTGAATCATCTTGGGGTGTAGAGGTGAAGGAGGAAGGAGACTGAAAGGAAAGAGCAGCTGAACTCTTGTATGGTCTACTGTGTAAAGCTCTTTGTTAACTGGTTTCTGAGTATCTGTGAATGGGGAGTGTTAGGATGTCCATGAATGGTGGAATTCTAAAAAAAAAAAAAAAATGATCCTAACATCCCAGAAACTAGTGTCTCTGAAAATAGTCTGGATGGACTTTTATGGGGAAACCTACTCGAGGATAGGGTTTTGCCTTTCCACCCCTACAGTGGTTCTGCCCTCAGTCATAACCTACTGTACCTGTACAACAGGCACATCTGGTTCCCAGATTATACAAGCATAGAAAAAAATTCAAGAATATTCTGAATGATAAAATAAAACATAATGAAGAGACCTGGCTCTAGGCAATAAGAAGGGACAAGGAAAAAATCAGAAGAGAGTAAAATTTCAATAAAAATGATCTGATTTCTCTGTGTCCAGGAGAGACTTTGACACTATATTATAACATAATTATGCCAATGCTTTTTGGCCTCAAGATAAGGGACAGTCCCCAGGGCCTGTCAGATCAAGTGAAACAGAACACTGGGAGGTCAATGGAAGGTCCAGGCGGTAAGACAAGATCTCCTACACTTGAACCTGAGACTCATAAAACACCTTATTTTGGCAAAGCACTTCACAAACATCTGCCAAATGATTACTTAGCCAATAGATTCATGAGGTAGTCAGGCGTTGAAGGGTCTGGTCGCAAGGGTGGACCCATAACATGGTGGGCTGCATGGTGCCATTCTTTATTCCAGTAGTGAGTGCCATCTGTGCCCAGACTTGCTGCTATGGGTTCTCCGTAGACCACCTTCCCTGAAAAGTTAAAAGGAAGCAATCAGCACTTTAATTTGCTCTTTTTTTTATTTTTAAAGATTTTTATTGGGGAATTGGGGGATGGGAACAGCGCTGGGGAATTGGGGGAAGGGGAACAGACAAGTTGCTGTCCTTTTGTTCTTCAGTCTAGTTGTGGAGGACATTGCTTCACTGGCCCAAGTTGGTACCATCACTGCGCTCTTCCTGGGCGAGGCAGATCAGTCGCCAGCTTCTGGATGGCTGCTCAAGGCAGCTGCTGGCCACTCATGCTGGCTGCTGGCTACACACGGTAGCCCATGGCAACCATCTGCCACAGGGTCTGCAGCCTATGCCATTGATGGCGACTCACAGCAGCCCAGCTCCAGGTTGAACTGTTGTTCAGCATCTTAGCTGTGGAGGGCAGTGTCACTGGCCCTCATATGTGGGATCCGAACCGGGGCTCTCTGGCATCCCAAGCCAGCTCTTAACCAACACACCACTCGGCCGGCCCTTTAATTTGCTCTTAAAAGAATCATCTGAGCTAGCCGAGTGGCTCAGTTGGTTAACAGCTCGCTCAAGAGTGCAAGCTCTGAACAGCAGGGTCGTTGGTTTGATTCCCAGCCCGAGCTGAGCTGCCGCTGAGCTACCAACAGGTGGCAGGATGGCTCAGCTTAAAAAAAAAAAAAAGAATCATTTGACAAACACATAAGTATTAGTCTTTCCTGTCTTAACAAAGAATAATATGAATCCTAAACCTTTTGTGAGCAGGATTTAAAAAGAAAAACGACTATTTATTGGGCATTGACTATGTTCTAGTCAATGTGCACTGCACCTTATGGCTGATGATTGTTCCCACAAACTGATATTAGACTTGGCCACGTGGCTTATTTTGGCCCATTAAACGTGAGCGGAAGTGACATGAGCTGCTTCCAAGCAGAAATTGTTAAAATCACAGTAAGTTTTGCCATCCCCCTTCCCTCTGTCATGAGACCAGCAGAAGCTATTCCTTCAGTTGTGCCTCAGAATGAAGAGAATATGGAGCAGGGGCAGAGCCATCCGATGATGGACATGAGTATGAATGAGAAATGAATCTCTGTAGTTTTAAGCCAATACTATTTTAGATTCATTTGTTACTGCAGTGTAACCTAGCGAAAGCCAGCTGATACATGTGCCATTCTAATGGAATCATCTCAAAACCCTCTCTGGGAAAAGCCATTATTATTATTACCATTAACGGTGAGGATAAAGTTTATGGGATTAAAAACTTCTCTACAGTTACATTACATGCACTCAATATAGATGGAGTGGAGGAGGTAGGACTTGAACCCAGGCATTTGGACTCTAGTGGCCCTAACTTCAATGTTATCCTACCCTGATGGCAATTATCATACGGTCACATGGAGTTCAACTGCCGCATATCTCTGTTGCAAATAGATTGATAATCTTTTCACACACTTAAAAAAAAAAACTTCCTCTGAAAACATATTAAATAAAAGAACACTCAGATAAAATTATAGCCAGAAATGCATATTTTAAAAATCATGCAAATGAGGCCATCCAAAGCACTTTCAATGTTAGAAAAATTAATCGCACAGAGTGAATTTGAATTTAAAATCAGGATCCTATCTCTGATTAGCACTTGTCAGAATAATAGATTCTCTGGCACCCACCTGATCCTATCCAAGCAGTCATGAAGGAGAGAGCGAAGTAAAGAGATGTTGGCATAGCAAATTAGTTCACTCTGGTTAATCAGATGCCGGATTTTAGTTAAAATCCTGATATATAACTGAGATTGACTGATTTCCTCAGGGAGGGCTGACAGTGGATGGCCTCCTGCTGCCTGAGTCATATTAAAATGGAATTTTATCTATTATTTCACAGATCATTTCTCCCCCAAACTAGCCACTGTCCTCTAGCTAGTTGAGGAATTTCAAAAACCATGAAAGCAAAGCTTCTTGAAGCCTAACAATCTTTGCTTCTTAAGTAACCAAGAATCAGACTGTGGTCAATAAAAGTTACTCTCCAGGGACTTAGCCGCTGCTAAAATCCGTGGCTTTCTTGATGCACACACACTAGATGAATCCCATCCCCCTTCTGTGTCTTACTGTCCTAGACCCAGAAAACGGGAAATAAATACTATTAGTATCTCTTTCTGGTGTGGAACAAAAAGCAATCATTTTTAATATGAACGAAGAGGCAATGTATTATTTGCTAGAGAGATAACAGGACAGATGCAACATTTTATTTGCAGGAACGAAGAGACCTTCCTATTCTAAGAGAACTTCTTACAGATGATTGGACAATGACGAACTTAGATGACCTGGTCTGCAGTCACTTTACAAGTTGCCAACTCAAGATTTTCTGTCGCACTTCTTCAGAGAGGAAAGATCTTTATCACATGGCCTATTCAATTATTTGGCCTATCAAGGTGATACGGGAATACTGTTCTAAAGGTTCTACAATTTTAACAGCACGCAGGAAAAATTAAAAGTGTCAGCATCTACCAGAACTATTTTGAAACTAGATAATAGGTAATTTCCTTGGGATGGCTTGGCTCCTTTAAAATGTGACAGCCACTTTTTTGTGTACACAACAAACTCTTCATTAACTGGGCTGTTTTCAACTGTCTCTCCACTAAGCATCTGTAAACATCAAAAAATTGAAAAATGAGGGCCGGCCGAGTGGCTCAGCTGGTTAAGAGCTCGCTTGGGAGCACCAGCTCTGAGCAGCAGGGCTGCGGTTCAGATTCCACATTGAGGGCCAGTGACACTCGCCCTCTACAGCTAAGATGATGAACAACAACTCGACCTGGAGCTGGGCTGCTGCGAGTTGCAAGTGACAGCGTAGGCTGCAGCGGGGCTGCAGTGGGCTGCCCTGAGCTACGTGAGTGGCTGGAAGCCAGCATGAGTGGTTGGCAGCCAGTGTGAGCTGCTGTGGGCTGTTGTGAGTGGCTGACCAATGACTGGCGACTGACTGCCTCACCAGGGAAGAGCACAATGATCATACGTACATGGGCCAGTGAAGCGACGTCCTCCACAACTAGACTGAAGAACAAAAACAGCAATGTGTCTACCTGTCTGTTCCCCTTCCCTGATTCCCCAACGCTGTTCCTCTTCCCCCAATTCCCCAATGAAATCTTTAAAAAAAAGAAAAATACTGAAAAATGAAAGAGTAGAAATTCCTAACTGCTCTTCCCTATATTTCACAATGGCTCTAAGACATATTCAAAGGACTAAACAGCATGCAAGAAGGAAAAAGGGGAAAGAAAACAAGAGGCTGAATAATCCATAAATTGGAAGATCAAATGAAAACTCATCACAACTGTGGGTTCTGTTAGATTTGGGCTAAAAATAAAGTAGCAACAAAAATAGCTAGCATATGTACAGCACTCTATAGTTTGCAAATATAGTTTGAAGGTCATATATCACATTTGACCTTCATGGCAACCCTCATGCTGGTTTGACAGATGAAACTGAACCTCAACGGACTAACTAAGAAGCGCAAGACACAGGGGGAGTAAGTGGTACGCCAGAATTAGAACCCTAGTATTCTGCTAGCATATCGTACATATGCACTATGCTACTAGGAAAAGTATAATTTTTCATTTCTTGGTAAAGAGCATGTATTTTTAAACATTTAAGCCAACCACAAGCTATTTGTGGAAATGGCTGAGCAATTTTCCAATTTCACTTACTGGTTTCATTTACTACGCTTAGCAGGTTGGTAATAAAAAGTGCTATATCTGTCCTCGTCTGGTGCTCTCCTGATTACATTTGAGACCAGATGGTTTCAACAACTCTTGGGAGATAGTACGTCTTCATCATTAATCTCTTCCCCCCATCTCAGCAAGTTTCACATTATGTTGTATCCTGTCTCCCCATACATGTTCTCTCCTTCTTTCTCTATCCTTTGGCTCAAAACCAAAAAATAAAACTCTGCACTTAGGATGCAATCACCCACTTCAAGGAGTTTTGCCCTCTGGGAGAGTCTAAAGATTTCCAAAAAATGAAACATGTCAAAACAATTCAAACTCCCTCCTGACCAGACAAAGCATTTATTAGATGAAAGTGATAGAGCGGATGTTAGCACCTTGTCTGGATTGGGCAGCAGAATTTAATCAAGTCCCAAGATCTGTTAGGAAAGGTTGAGAGGTGCAGAGATGCTGGCATAGGTGTCCAGGGGTGGAAGCACTGACCACAAAACAGGAAGCCAAACACAGTTATAAAAATAATCTTTCCTGGGTTCTGTTTCAATTCAAAATAGTGCATTTACAATGCAAGAAAATAATTGAGAAAGAAAATATATAGAAGCAGCATAATAGAGTAGATCACACAGGTCTAGGTTCAAATCCTGAGTTTGCTACTTTTAGCTGGTGACCTTGTGAAAGATGAGTACTTGCTCTTAGTCTCAGTTTTTCTCATCTATGCAATGGGATCACAATATTCCTCTCATAGGGCAATTTTGTGAGGGTCAAATAAATTCATGTTTAGAAAAGTATCTAGCATCTTCCCAGGACCCTGGAGTTACTTTATGATTTGCACTGAATTATGTCCCTTGTCAAAATTCAAATGTTAAAGCCCTAAACCTTAGTATCTCAGAATGTGACTGTATTTGGAGATAGGGTCCTTTATACAGGTAATTATGTTAAAATGACGTCATTAGTGTGAGTCTTAAACCAATATGACTAAGGTCCTTATAAGAAGAGGAAATTTGGACATAGACACACACAGAGGGAAGACCATGTGAAGACACAGGGAGAAGACAGCCATCTACAAACTAAAGAGAGAGGCCTGGAACACAGCCTTTCTTCACTGTCCTCAGAAAGAGCCAACCCTGCCAACACTTTGATCTCGGACTTATAGACCCCAGAATTGTGAGAAAATAAATTTCTATTGTTTAAGCCACCCAGCCAGTGGCACTTCGTTACAGCAGCCCCAGCAAACTAATAAGTTCCACAAATGTTAGTGTCATTATGGTTACACCATTCTACTCAAAATAAACTGTTTTCAAATGGCCTGTTT